CCTCGGGACCGCTCGGTTCAGGAGAACTGAATCAATCCTCGTTTTATAGTCATCCGAAAAGGTTCGCTCAGTGATCGCAAAATACACGGCTTTATCATCAGATGCCGAGAACCTGCAGTCATTTGCCCCGAGTTTGGTTATATCTGGATATAGACACACAGATATATATATATATATATATTTGTTCCTTTTTTGTATGTGTGTGTGGGTGGGTGGGGTGTGGGTGTATATGGGGGTGTGGGTGGGTGGGGGTGTGGGTGTATATGGGGGTGTGTATGGTGTGTGTGTGGGTGGGTGTATATGGGGTGTGGGTGGGGTGTGTGTGGGTGGGTGGGGTGTGGGTGTATATGGGGGTGTGGGTGGGGTGTGTGGGTGTATATGGGGGTGTGGGTGTATATGGGGGTGTGGGTGTATATGGGGGGGTGTGGGTGTATATGGGTGTGTGGGTGTATATGGGTGGATGGGTGTATATGGGGGTGTGGGTGTATATGGGGGTGTGGGTGGGGTGTGTGTGGGTGGGTGTATATGGGGGTGTGGGTGTATATGGGGGTGTGGGTGTATATGGGGGTGTGGGTGTATATGGGGGGGTGTGGGTGTATATGGGGGTTGTGGGTGTATATGGGGGTGGGGTGGGTGTATATGGGGGTGTGGGTGTATATGGGGGTGTGTGGGTGTATATGGGGGTGTGGGTGTATATGGGTGGGTGTATATGGTGTGTGTGGGTGCATATGAGGGGGTGTGGGTGTATATGGGTGGGTGTATATGGGGGTGTGGGTGGGTGTATATGGGGATGTGGGTGTATATGGGGGGTGGGGTGGGTGTATATGGTGGGTGTGGGTGTAAATGCAGGGGTGTGGGTGTATATGGGGGTGTGTGTGGGTGTATATGGGTGGGTGGGTGTATATGGTGTGCGTGGGTGTATATGGGGGTGGGTGGGTGTATATGGGGGTGTGGGTGGGTGTATATGGGGGTGTGGGTGGGTGTATATGGGGGTGTGTGGGTGTATATGGGGTGTGTGGGTGTATATGGGGGTGTGGGGGTGTATATGGGGGTGTGTGGGTGTATATGGGGGTGTGTGGGTGTATATGGGGGTGTGTGGGTGTATATGGGGGGGTGTGGGTGTATATGGGGGGTGTGGGTGTATATGGGGGTGTGGGTGGGTGTATATGGGTGTGTGTGGGTGTATATGGGGGTGTGGGTGGGTGTATATGGGGGTGTGTGGGTGTATATGGGGGTGTGTGGGTGTATAGGGGGGGTGGGGGTGTATATGGGGGTGTGGGTGGGTGTATATGGGGGTGTGTGGGTGTATATGGGGGGGTGTGGGTGTATATGGGGGTGTGGGTGGGTGTATATGGGGGTGTGGGGGTGTATATGGGGGTGTGTGGGTGTATATGGGGGGGTGGGGGTGTATATGGGGGGGTGTGGGTGTATATGGGGGTGGGGGTGTATATGGGGGGGGGTGGGTGTATATGGGGGTGTGTGGGTGTATATGGGGGTGTGGGTGGGTGTATATGGGGGTGTGGGTGGGTGTATATGGGGGGGTGTGGGTGTATATGGGGGGGTGGGGGTGTATATGGGGGGGTGGGGGTGTATATGGGGGGGGTGGGGGTGTATATGGGGGTGTGTGGGTGTATATGGGGGGGGTGGGGGTGTATATGGGGGTGTGGGGGTGTATATGGGGGGGTGTAGGGTGTATATGGGGGCGTATAGGGTGTATATGGGGGTGTGTAGGGTGTATATGGGGGGTGGGTGTATTGGGGGGGTGGGTGGGTGTATATGGGGGTGTGGGTGGGTGTATATGGGGGTGTGTGGGTGTATATGGGGGTGTGGGTGGGTGTATATGGGGGTGTGGGTGGGTGTATATGGGGGTGTGGGTGTATATGGGGGTGTGGGTGGGTGTATATGGGTGTGTGGGTGTATATGGGGGTGTGGGTGTATATGGGGGGGTGGGTGGCTGTGAGTGAATCAGACCCTTTGGGAAGGGGAAGGGGCTGCAGTTTGATCAGTAATGTATCGGCCAAAAAAAAAACGCCGCCGTTCAGTTCCCGACAGACGTTTTATTCGGCTCTGTCGGTGGTGACTGTATCAATCAATTAACTGCAACGACTCGACTCGACTCAACTCAACTCGTTCGTTCTCTCAGGCAACGGCTATTTCAGAAGCTTTTCTGATATATATATATATATATAGAGAGAGAGAGAGAGAGAGAAATATTTTAAAAAAAATACACCACAATAAATAAATCAATGGGAGTCGCAGTGCCTTTGGGGTGGAAGGCAGAGTGGTCGGTGACTGCTGTTCACACTGTGGGATATCTGTGGTACATCACAGAGTCGATATCAATAAATCTGAGTCTCATCACTGTGTGAGTGAGTGAGTGAGTAAGTGAGTGTTGTGAGTGTAAAAAAAGAGATTCATCCAACACTGTTTTGACGCTGTTTGGGGCTGTGGGGGTTGTTTTTTTTTTGGTGATCGTATTCAGTAAAACACGATATAATATAATATAATATAATATAATATAATATAATATAATATAATATAATATAATATAATATAATATAATATAATATAATATAATATAATCCCCAACAATGTGACTGATTGACCGCTCGAGTCCCACAAACCTGACAAACTATCGTTAAGTTGAACCCGATACTATACACATATATACACATATATATATACAGTAGATCGATCCTTTGGGAGTTTGGGAACTTTACTGAACTTTTTTTTTAATAGTTTGCTTTCAATTTTTGATCATTCCCCTCTCTCCCTCCCTCCCTCTCCCTCCCTCCCTCCCCCTCCCTCCCTCCCTCCCTCTCCCTCCCTCCCTCCCTCCCTCTCTCCCTCCCTCCCTCCCTCCCTCCCTCCCTCCCCCTCCCTCCCTCCCTCCCTCCCTCCCTCTCCCTCCCTCCCTCTCCCTCCCTCCCTCCCTCTCCCTCTCTCCCTCCCCACTCCCTCTCTCCCTCCCTCCATCCCTCCCTCCCTCCCTCCCTCCCTCCCTCTCCCTCCCTCCCTCCCTCCCTCTCCCTCCCTCCCTCCCTCCGTCCCTCTCCCTCTCCCTCCCTCCCTCCCTCTCCCTCCCTCCCTTCCCTCCACACACACAATTTTTGAATGGATTTGTGTTATTCCGAAATGCAACTGACACTATCACCAGTTTATTAGGGAATAAATACTACTGCTGCCCAACATCGTAAACAGGGCGATTGGATTTATATAACCCGCTGTAAACCAAGAATATACCTTCACGAATCAATATCCGATTAGATTAGGTGGGTATTTTATATATATATTTATATATTTACGTATATGTCTATTCACACACACACCTTATCTGCATTGCTATGATGTGGCCAATTAAAACACCTGGACAGCCCACTCCCCCTCCCCTTCATTTTCTTTAAAAGTTGGGGTTGCTGGAAAGTGCTCGAATGTCTATTTTAAAACAAACTCACAATCAAACACAGAATCAAACACAGACACACACACAGACACACAAACACAGACACACACACAAACACAGACCCACACACAGACCCCCCACACCACCTGCCTCTCCCTGCCCTGCCTCTCCCTGCCCTGCCTCTCCCTGCCCTACCCTGCCCTGCCTTGCTTCTCCCTGCCCTTCCTGCCCTGCCCTCCCTGCCTGCCCTCCCTTGCCTACCCTGCCCTCCCTACCCTGCCTGCCCTCCCTGCCCTCCCCTGCCCTCCCTGCCCTGCCCGCCCTCCCTGCCCTCCCTTGCCTACCTTGCCCTCTCCTGCCCTGCCCTCCCTTGCCTACCCTGCCCTCCCTGCCCTGCCCTGCCTGCCCTCCCTGCCCTCCCCTCCCTTGCCTACCCTGCCCTGCCTGCCCTGCCCTACCATGCCTGCCTGCCCTGCCTGCCCTCCCCTGCCCTGCCCTCCCTTGCCTACCCTGCCCTCCCTGCCCTGCCCTGCCCTCCCTTGCCTCCCCTGCCCTGCCTGCCCTCCCTGCCCTCCCTACCCTACCCTGCCCTCCCTGCCCTGCCCAGATGCCTGCCACCTGCGGTCATTAAGTGGTTGGGGGCACATTCCCTCATGAGGGCCACTCTCGGGCTTTAATCACCACTGGAGCTGTTCCTCTTATGGTTAACTCTGATGCTCAGCCTCGGAGGCTTCTGGTTGCATCACCAGAGAGGGAGAGACACACAGCTTCCCCCGGGTTATAAATAGAATTACGTCAGTTCCCCGCCTGTGTTGGGCTGTAAACAGAGCCTCTCCCCCCCCCCCCCCCCACACCCCCCCCCTTATACACACTCACTATATAAAGCCAACAGTGATGCAACCCTCAGTGCTTTGCTGTTCCGCAAGTTTTCAAAAAACCAGGAGATCATCAGCACAGCACAGGCACACAGTCACACACACACACACACACAGAGACACACAGGCACACAGAGACACACACACACACACAGGCACACAGAGACACACAGGCACACACAGACACACAGGCACACACAGAGAGAGAGAGACACACACACACAGAGAGACACACAGGCACATACAGACACACAGGCACACAGAGAGAGAGAGAGAGACACAGGCACACAGAGAGAGACACACACACACACAGAGAGAGACACACAGGCACACACAGAGAGAGAGAGAGACACACACACACACACACACACACACAGAGAGACACACAGAGAGACACACACAGACACACACACACAGAGAGAGACACACAGAGAGACACACACAGACACACACAGAGAGAGACACAGACACACACACAGACACACACACACAGAGACACACAGACACACACGCAGAGAGACACACACACAGAGAGACACACACACACACAGAGACACACACAGAGAGAGACACACACACAGACACACACACAGACACACAGAGAGAGAAAGAGACACACACAGAGACACACAGAGAGAGAGACAGAGACACACACACACACAGAGACACACACAGACACACACACACACACAGAGACACAGACAGACACAGAGACACACACATAGAGCCACACAGAGAGAGACATAGACACAGAGAGACAGACAGACACCCACAGTGCTGCTCTCCACAGACTGAAAGAGACCCCGAAAAATAACAGGTAAACCGAGGCCAGTGACTGACTGCTGGAGGGCTTCTGATTCCCTCCCCCCCACCCCCTCTTTTCTTTCTTTCTCTCTCTCTCTAACTGAATGTCTCCCTCTCTCTCTTTGACTGTATCTCTCTCTGACTGTATCTCCCCCCCCCACCCCCCCCTCTCTCTCTCTCTACCTCTCTCTACCTCTCTCCCTCTTCCTCTCTTTCTCTACCTGTCTCTATCTCTCTCTACCTGTCACTCTCTTTGCCTCTCTCTATCTTTACCTGTCACTCTCTCTACCTCTCTCTCTCTCTCTCTACAGCTGTCACTCTCTCTGCCTCTCTCTATCTCTACAGCTGTCACTCTCTCTCTCTCTCTCTCTCTCTCTCTACCTGTCACTCTCTCTGCCTCTCTCTATCTCTACCGCTGTCACTCTCTCTCTTTCTCTCTTCCTCTCTACCTGTCACTCTCTCTGCCTCTCTCTATCTCTACCTGTCACTCTCTTTACCTCTCTCTCTCTTTCTCTCTACCTGTCACTCTCTCTGCCTCTCTCTATCTCTACCTGTCACTCTCCCTACCTCTCTCTTTCTCTCTACCTGTCACTCTCTCTGTCTCTACCCCTCTCTCTCTGTGTCTCTCTCTCTCTCTGTGTCCCTGTCACTCTCTGTCTGTCTCTGTCACTCTCTCTCGCTCCCTATTGACGAGGGCAAACCATGTGAATCAGCGATCGCTGTGTTAAGTGTCAAACGTTGTGGTTGTGTCGCTTCGTTTCCAATTGATTGTTTATTATTATTATTATTATTATTATTGTTTGTTTGTTTGTTTGCTGCCGCCTCATCCCAAGCGAAGGAAGGAGTCTGTAAAATAGCTCCAACTTGGTGCTGAATGTTGTGTTTTCCTTATGCTTTTGGATGAAAACCAGAGGGTCGATTCCATTCATTGAAGGCGCTTTATCCTGAGTCCCTCTCCCTCTGTGTGTGTGTGTGTGTCATTAGTATTACTCAGGAAATAAACCCAGAGGTCGCTGTCAGGGCTGATCCAATGATATGTGTGTGTGTGTATATGGACACTTTGAATTGCATTATAAATCGAAGTACTTTCTTCCTTTCCCCCCTCCTCCAATCTTGTGCGCTGTTGTACATTGTTTGTTTCTCCATATGTATATATATGTTATATATATATAACATATCTCTGACCATGTTATTTGTGGCTGTTTGGGATGGCCTGTCCATGGGGTGGTGTGGGGGGTGGGGTGGGGGGTGGGGAGGGTGATTAGCCTCTTTTATGGGTCCCCATATTAAGGAATTAATATTAATATCAGTCGTTTGTTTAATCCCAGCTTCCTTACCGTATTTTCTTTTGAAAAAAAAGATTTAAATAAGAAGCACCCCGCTTGATGTCCGCCAGGGTTTTACAAGTGTCTCTGTGGCCCTTTGCGGTCTCTCCCTTCGTTGTGTCTCAATATAAAGATCAGCCCCTTTAAACAGCTTCTTACTCAGTGTCCGCACGTCACCGGTCAGATGATAGACGGGGGAAGTTTCCTGTTTTTTTATATATATATAGATATCTATCTGTGTGTATATCTGTAGATAATATATTACAGGATTCAACAAAAAAAAAAGGATCTAAAAGTTTCCCAATCGCGCTTGCAGTCCAGGTCCAAAGTTCACCCACTCTCAGGCTTGCTCCGCAACAAGTGATGGTGATCCAGATGAGCCGGGCACATCTGGATCGGGCGAAGGCCATAGATGATCAGAATCACAATCATAATAATAATCCTGGCATCTCATACCGCGCCTGATCACATCTTCGAGACGCTTCACAGGATAATACTGTAAAGTGAATTGGCTGCGTATTTTGTTGGTGAAAAGCAGCAGCCAATTGTGCACAGCAGCGTCCCCACAAACAGCCGTGGGTTGAGCGACCCCAATTTTTTTAAGGGCTTACTACCCCCAGAAAACCGATCCGCCAATCGACTAACAACCGGGTTCTTACTTAACTGCTAGATAAACAGAGGGTGTGGAGCAAGGAGACTTGCCTGAGGTTTCACCCTGCCCAACACAAAGTTCACCCCACTTTTGCCTCCACTCCTCCTTTGCCAATAATCAATAAGCACTGTGAGGCCTTGTGTTAAATGTTATTTTTTTTTATCAGGGCAGTTTTTATAGGTTTCGTTCTGTATGGAGTGAATGGTGGGGGCGGGGTGGGGGGGGTTCCATCTTATATGTTATGATTCAGTACCAGACCAGGTCAGTGATTGCTGCTTGCATTGCAGACCTCAAAGGAATCCTGGAATGCAAAGTATTCCTACCCCATGTAGCAGTGAGCCAATATACACAGATGGAGAATTACAAGAGAGGGCGTGGGGTGGGGAAGAGAGAGAGAGAGAGAGAGAAGTTGTCTATCTGCCGGTTGCCTTGCATTGCCTTATATTATACGTAGCGTGGTGGTTAGAGTACTCGTCTCGCAAACAAGAGGACCCGGGTTCAATTTCCGGGTTGGGTCAAAAGCTTACGCAAGTTTCCTTTCTCCACACGCCTCTGTTTGCCCAGCAGTAAGTAGGAACCTGGTTGTTAATCGATTGGCGGAGCACTTTTCTGAGGGTCATAATCCATTCAAACAAAATTTGGCCACTCCTTCCACCACTGTTTGTGGGACGCTGTTGTGCGCAATCGGCTGCTGCGTTTTGCCCACAAAAACACGCAGTCAATCCACTTCACAGTTTATTCTGTGAAGCGCTTTGAGAGCTCTCAATGATGCGATAAGGTGCTCTATCGAATGCAAGGATTATTATTGTGTTGTCGTGCGCGTTGACTGTTCCCCACACGCGGTTAGCGATGCCCCTGTGTTCTGGTGACACTGGAAATTCCCAGTGGCGATGCCCCTCCTGCTCATGTACTCGTTAGTGCCCTGAGGAATTTGACAAATAATCCAGAAGTTTCCATTGCTAAGGTCACTGCTAAAAAGGAAGTCTGGGCAAGGGCAAGGGAACGTTGAGTGACTTTATGGAATTTCATTCAGATTTGCACGCCTCTGATAATCAGTTGAACAATTCAACGGAAATTAGGCCGGGGCGGCAAGAAGAGAGAATAAAGTCTATCTGTTGAATAGCTAAAGCAAATCAATGACACAGTTCCACATGTTATTGTCTGAAACTAATTATCCTTACCTTTGGTACAGCACCTTTCATGTCAGGAGGATGTCCGAAAGTGCTTCACAGTAAAGTGTTCTGTAAAGTATAGTGACCGTGTGTTTTATAGACTACGTGTCGCCAGTTGCGCACAGCAATGTCCTGCAAACAGCCATAAAGTGAGTGACTGATTTTATTTGGGTAATTGTTGGCCAGGTAGACCGGTAGAAACTCCATTCTCTTTCCGAACAGTGCCATGGGGTCTTTAATGTCCCACCCGAGCAGACGGATGAGCCTTGGTTTAAAGTTTCATTTGAAGGGCACCTCCAGCAATACAACACATCCTTATGGCGTTTGAACCCATAACCTTGTGTGTAGTCATTTGGGTGAGGTATTGGACGGTGCCTGTTGAAGTGTACCTTGATATCATAATAATAATCGCTGCATTTAATACAGTGCCTTTCATGTCAGGAGGATGTTTCATAACATTGAACAGGATTTACCGTTAAGCGTAGTGACTATGTATTTTGTAGGCAAATCCTGCTACAAGTTTGCACGCAGTAGTACAGTACAGTATGTCACCGCATTAAAGGTGAGTGACCAATCTTATCTGGTGGATTGTTGGCCAGGACACCAGGAGAAACTTTTTCCAATAGTGCCGTGGGATCTTTAACATTTATCTGACGGGATGTCAATTTAATGTCTCATCCGAAAGATGACAACGCTTACACTGCAGCCTTCCCCAACACTACACTGGGAGTGTCAGCCTAGACTACATGAGTTCAAAGTCCCGGCATGGGGCTTGAACCCACAAGTTTCTGACTCTGCGGCAAGAGGGCTAACAAGTGAGCCAGGCTGACATCTAAACATCGAGTCAGTATTTCAGGAGGAAAGAAAAGTATGTGTGCGTGTGTGTGTATCCCTCGCTCTTTATCTCTTGTCTCTGTGAGGGGGCACCAAAATTGTTCCAGAATGTTCTGACCCAATGTTCCTGTATCCTAACCTCCTACACTCATCGAGTTTCGCACCAGGTCGAGACTTTATGGCTCAGAGTCATAAGCTGCTGCCTTCAGTAGCGCCGTGATTGTGGCAAAAATAGTAACGGTATTAGCAGAATAAACACATCGATATCGTTGCTGTTCCCCGTTGTGTACTCTGTTTCCAAACTGGGCCCAAATTTGGGTTTGTTACCGTTAAGAACGTGGTGGGTGTTTTCTTTCCGTGAGTGTTTGTGTGTGTTTCTGTCCTCCTGAAGTGTTATTTAATGCTGAGGTATAATTTCATGGGTGCCAGCAGGCCCTGTTATCTCACCGTTGTGGCCAGTCTTTAAGTGTTGACCTGGGCAGTGGTTGTTGGCGGTCTTATGATCGTGTGGGGGTGGCATCTTAGCTGAATACAGTCGGGCGTGGTTAGGCCTGGATTCTTCCATCTCTGCTCCTGTTAGCCTTGCAAACCGAAGCGCAAAAGCTTGGGGGTGATCTTAGCTGGACAAGTAGCGGGAAGGTTGCCTGACAATGCTCTCAATGGCAAGTTGTGGCAAGGGAGGGAGCGAGGCTCAGGGAATGTGGGTTGGAGTTCCAAATGGTTAGGGGCAGAGAGCCTGAAGGCCCGACCGCTGATGGTGGTGAGGGGGGTGCGTGGGGGTGGGTGGGGGGGCGCGATAATAGCATAGGATGTGAGGGTCTGAGCAGCCCGAGGGGAGAGGCAGTGCTGGACTTGGGCAATGTTTTGGAGGTGAGGGAAAGCCTGAGCGCGCATGTTGGGTTTGCAAGACTTTTAATACGTTACAGAAATAATAAATAATGGGGGTTAAATTTGTGACGTTATTCAATAGGAGATTAAGGAGTTTCCTTGATAATCAATCCCTCTACAATTTCCGTTGATCTACAGGAGC